GAAGAAGGCAGAAGTGAGGGTCATGGCTGAGAAGACCCAGCATGATCAGATCGGCATCCAGACCGTAAAGACAGTGGCGAACATTGGATTCATAGTCGGGCTGCGCTTTCGAGCAACGAATGTATTCCATAATCTTGTGCTCGCCTTCTCCTGGAACCTCATGGCCAGAAAGCACAATTTCCACACCTTGCCAATCTGTATCCTCCGAGATTTTCTTGTTGATGAAGTATTTGAGTTGTTTCGTCAATTTTTGCATGAACTCGGTACCCGGGGTGATGCAGTTGCTGTCAAAGGCATCTTCCTTTGGCATCTCCAGGCCCTGCTGGATGGCCTTCTCCTTCGCGTTTTCTGCATCCAGAGCCGTTCGGAATCGACGAGCGCGTTGTTGATTCATCTTAGCGCGAGGGGCAACACCGTCTACCGCCATGTAGAACAGCTTCTTGGGCTTGATCTTGCCAAATAGATGTTCGATGTAATTGAAGATGGCAATGAACATTTGATCCTCAGTCATACGAAATGTTGGGGAATCGCTGTCGCTATGCGTACAGTTGTGAATAATGCCGTTCATGTCGAGGTATAGGCTATCGAATTCGGGTATCCGGCTCTCTGCGATCAGCATCGAGATTGACGGATACCGCTCACTCAGCCAGCGGAAGAATTTCGGGACACCCATGGTGAAGGTTGGGTTCGATTGAAGACAATATTGTCAAGGAAGGAATCGGCAGGTAATTTATCGTAAGAGTTGAGAGATCGTATGAGGGGTACTCGTAAAGGACTGAAGGAGAGTTGCGACGAAAGGTGAAATCATCCAATGAAGAAATCTTGGACAAGATACTGCGCCAGTCAAGTGGTACCCAAAGGAAGATAAATGGGCATAAAAAAAACAAGCAAGAGAAAAATATAGTAACGCCAAACTGACGCTTTTCAGTTGTCTATGATGCAAGAAGCAGGTGTCCCCACGATGTGAACATTGAAGAGTCAACGGAGCTCACTTACCGCCTACCAATTAGGACTAGTGCCATTACAGGTCTCCCGGCGCTCATTAACGCGCTGTTGCGCGTAGCTTTCCTCCACCTACCTGTCTGCTTCACACACTCTTTCTCAGTGGTTCGAGTTCCGTTGTCTAGTGAGCTCAATATACTGCTCGGTCTACACCACCCTAAAACCATGGATCCCTATGAAAACGATGCTGGTGAGCATTTATGTCCTTGCGCACTACTTAAAATCTCAATCTAACCAACGTCTAGGTGTTGGTGACGAGCACGAGAAAGATCAGGACCAGGATCAAGATCATGAACATGCTGATGAGAAAGCGATCAACGAAGGTAGCTTTGCTCAACCTCTCTCAAATTTTACCAATTACGGTCATATCTAATCACATTCACTGAGAACAGAGTACAAAACATGGAAGAAGAATGCGCCCTTCCTCTATGATATGATCCTGAGCACAGCATTAGAATGGCCAACTCTTACAACTCAGTGGCTTCCAGATAAGCAAGAGTATGCCCCGAACTCATACTTGTCCAATCATCAACCTAACCAAGTCTATCTTCAGAGTCCCAGACAAGCCCTACTCAACCCACCGTCTCCTCATTGGCACACATACCACTGGTGATGCGCAGAATTACCTTCAGATTGCCCAGGTGCAACTCCCAAACCCTAATGTCCCAAACCCGGAAGACTATGACGAAGAGAAAGGAGAGATTGGAGGCTATGGCGGGGGTTCAAAGAAAGCACAAATGGAAATCAAGTTCAATATTGTGCAAAAGATCGATCACAAGGGTGAGGTCAACAAGGCCCGGTATCAGCCACAGAACCCGAATATCATTGCGACAATGTGCACAGATGGTCGGGTGATGATCTGGGATCGCTCTAAGCACCCCAGCTTGCCAACCGGCACAGTGAACCCTCAAATGGAGCTCCTAGGTCATGAAGCTGAAGGCTTCGGACTTAGCTGGAACCCCCATGTGGCAGGTCACCTCGCAACGGGCAGTGAGGATAAGACTGTTCGACTTTGGTAAGCGAGCGCAACCTGAAAACACAGGATTTGCTGTGACTAGCGTCTAATGAAGCTCACCAGGGACATTACTACATACACCAAGGGTAACAAGGCAGTCCGGCCAAGCCGTACTTTCACGCACCACTCCTCGATCGTCAACGACGTTCAACACCATCCTCTCCACTCCTCTCTCATCGGAACTGTCTCCGATGACATCACGCTTCAAATCCTCGATACCCGCCACGATGATTCCACTCGTGCGGCTGCTTCGGCTGAAGGTCAGCACCGCGATGCCATCAACTCAATTTCCTTCAACCCGGCCTCCGAGACGATTTTGGCCACGGGTTCCGCCGACAAGACTATCGGTATCTGGGATCTCCGCAACCTGAAAGCGAAGCTCCACTCACTGGAGGGCCACACTGATTCGGTACAATCTATCTCGTGGCATCCATTTGAGGAGTCGGTGCTGGCAAGTTCCAGTTACGACCGCAAGATTATGTTCTGGGATCTCAGCCGGGCAGGCGAGGAGCAAACCCCCGAAGATGCTCAAGATGGACCACCAGAGCTGTAAGTGACTTTTTTTTCCCGCTTCATTTAATGCGTTGGAATATTGGCTGACCTAATCCTTAGCCTGTTTATGCACGGTGGACACACGAACCGTATCTCAGACTTCAGCTGGAACCTAAGTGACCCGTGGGTTCTCTGTTCCGCAGCCGAGGACAATCTACTGCAGGTATGGAAGGTAGCAGATGCAATTGTGGGCAAGGATCTGGAGGATGTCCCAACAGAAGAAATTGAGGCATGATTCAATTCCTACCGGACTTGCAGTCGTCTAGTCATTTTTCATATGGGTGCTTCTTTGATATAGGTGAATTAAGACCATGGCGAGTAATCATTAAAAATACCATTTCATCTATAACCCTTGTTGCTAGCGACATGGTTGTCATATTGTCCACCAACCCTAATATCTCTAAATGTTGTATATAGCAGGACACGTCATTAGGTCGCCAACCTAGCCAAGCCATGATATATTCACTATCGCGTAGCATCTATAATTCTTGTAGACTTCAGCACCGCTTAGTGAAGTCAGTATGTATTTTCTACAATATTAGTTGCTCTATTTCAAGATGTTTCTCACTGCAGGGTGAGTGCATCCCCGCACGTTCCACCACATAAAGCTAACGCCGAGAGTATATGAGGTCTGTGACGAACAGACCAAGGAATATGTTCTGTACTACACTCTAATACAGTCCAAGATTCATATAGTACAATATAGCTCTGGAGATCCATGCATGTGCTATCCGGGCCGGGTGTCTGTTATCTGACCGCGGGGAGCATGTCATCATTCCGGTGGGATGTGATTGGTGGTGATTGGTGGGGGGCGATGAGGGGGACAGAAGAAAGTTAGTGTCGTTTGCTAAAAAAAAAAATGAGTCTTACTTATTTATATGCTCACCTCATTTATTATTTATATATCATCTTGGAAGGTGACATATTCTACTTTTTATCAACTTCACTCTTGAAATAAATCTCCATCATGGGTTCCGGTTCCCCTACAAGCCCCAGGGCCTCAGCCATTCCGTCCCACATGCTGAACGGTAGCTCCCCGCTGCACCGTTCAACAGGTGGCCGTGATTCTCGTGAGCGCGAGAGTCTGAGTACATCCATTCGCTCCTCTTTTGAACCCCGAATTCCCATTGAATTTGAATCTCCTGAGACCAAGACCGACACCAAGACTGAGACCCAGGCCGATACTGAGGAAACTGGGGCCGCCCCCACCCTGGCCGTTTCCAGTGCTACTGTGCCAATCCGCAGTGTGGCGCCAGTGCGGTATGTATACAACGATATCATGGCACTTTACATTTCATTGCTAATCTCTGGGATGTAGTCCTACCTTGAATGACCCTCCCCGCGATCCCCGGGATGCGGCCGCCCCATTCACGCCCTCATCCACTGTCAGCCGACCTGCCAGCCCCTACACATTGAACCCACCTATCGACTTTGACGGTCTCAGCTGGCCTTGTTAGTGATACCAACCCCATCGGTGGACACCGCTCTATCGGTGTATTCCTCTAACCACGATCACTAGGCCCGGGAACCAGACAGCGGAAGGAGTCGACGCCGGAGGAGACCGAACAACGACTTGAGAAGATGTCCGGAGCTATCCGCACAATCTTGGAATGTATCGGCGAGGATCCGGAAAGAGAGGGTCTTCTCGAGACCCCCATGCGATATGCCAAAGCCATGCTCTATTTCACCAAGGGCTATGAGGAGAATGTTCGGGACTTGGTCAACAACGCTGTCTTCCACGAGGATCACGATGAGTTGGTTATTGTCAAGGATATCGATATCTTCTCGATGTGCGAGCACCACATGGTGCCCTTCACCGGAAAGGTAAGAATCGCTACATATAACGATACCGTGGTGGCAATCATTCTAACAACTTACAGATGCATATCGGATACATTCCTGACCGCCGTGTCCTTGGTCTGTCAAAACTGGCTCGCCTGGCAGAGATGTTCTCTCGTAGGCTTCAGGTCCAGGAGCGTTTGACCAAGCAAGTTGCGTTGGCCATTTCAGAGGTCCTCCAGCCTCGCGGCGTCGGTGTCGTTATGGAATCTTCCCACCTTTGCATGGTTATGCGTGGTGTGCAAAAGGTTAGCAGCACCACCACTACCAGCTGTATGCTGGGATGTATGCGGTCCAGCGCCAAGACTCGCGAAGAGTTCTTGACTCTGTTGAACCGGAGATAATACCCCATTTCCCCATCTGCCCAACCTAAACGCAGGTTGTTGATTTTTTCGGATTTTTTTGGAGTTTCGGATACCTTTCAACAGGTTTTTGGGTGGTCTTGCTTTTTACTTTACATGTTAAGCGTGGATTGGTGTTTCTCTTGTCTTCTCTCATCTTGGTTTTCCTGCACATACTCGGGCAAATCTTTGCCCTGGTGTCTTCCCATGCTTCCCTTGTCCACGAAGCTCACACCCTGGTTGGAGAGCTGATGGCTTCGCGGGAAATGGTGAACATCCCCTTCCTCGACCTATGACGGACCCGAGGAAGAAATTAAAATCCCCTCATTCACTATCCCTTACGCCCTTTGCCCTGCCATACTAACACAACCGCACAAGAGGCCTTTGCTGTGCATTCTATTGAGATCTTACTCTCACTAGATAGCACCAGCAAGGCTGTTTCAACACTTAATCTCATGCCGCTTACGAGCATCCTAGTAGGATTTCCGGGAGCTATCCACTTAGATACGATGTACGTATTAGAATCAATGTACAATTTCGTTCAGATTTCTTGTTTCCTCATGTAGAACAAAAAAGCAAAGCTCTGGCAGTGGTGTGTCGACGTTCAGCATAGACGTTCAGTTAGAGTCCTGCAGCCGATTTCTATAAAAACTATTTGGGCTGTCTCAGGGCTTTTATAGGACCACTCAAGTCTTCTAAGGGTTTGATGAAGGGTAACTAGGTGAACCCTGCTACCTGTCCAGGTGTGGGCATATAGATAGGTACTTTGATCTCTGAGTGCTTGATGCTCTTGAAGATAGGTATCATCAGAGGCGTTCAAACTTCTCACATCAGGACCTCGTCAGCGGTGAATGATACCTGGGCAACCACCCTTCTAACGACTAATCGTTCCATGTGACGATGTCCTCCTACACGTACACAAACCTGGAATTGTTTTTCTCTTTTGAATCCGTCCTCTAACAAACTCTTCATTCCTGTCTCATCTCTCTACTATCCAACTCTCTATCCGACTCTCAAACTCTCCATCATCCGGAAACTTACTCTATTCATCTTCAGTTCTTCCTGCAATCTATTGATTGTATTGATTGTCTCTACTTAACCTTCTTTGTGCTTCTTTTGCTACATTTGACGTGCCTGTGCATCTTCCAGTCACGTCCACCTCCATCCTTACCTGTTGTTCTCTCTTACCACGACGCACCACACTCCACCCCACAGCCACCAAAGTCTGACATCCACGCTATCTATCTCTGTAAGTCTCGTGGGTGTTGATCCTGGTTCCTTTATGTGTGCTATATACAACACCAGCCGTCTATGCATATTCCGGATTTTCTTCAAAGAAAATATGATGTGATACTCTTTCTGATCTGATCTATGTACCCTTATTTGGTTGCTATGAGATATGACACTAATCTGTTCGCAAAACAAAAGGGATCTCGCGTTCAAACCTGTCGAATACCCTGCACCTGAAAAGTCCGCCCTGACAACATTGAGCACTACAGGTATGTTAAACATGTCTAATTAAATCAAGCACAAGACTTACTTGACATAGAGTTGAGGAAACCAAGAATCCGTTTCAATACAATGGGGGACCACACTCAAGATCCAGCCTTTCATCGCTCCCCGAGTCTCTCTTCTGACGACGATACCCCCGACTTTTCCAATGAGCCCACTAGTACTAATAATACTGCCGGGTCTGGATCCTCATGGTTTCCCTCTCAGACAACCCTTGACATTCTCCAAGCGCACCTGGCAGTTGACCCCAACTCTGGCTCTTCCGAAACTTCTGAACCGCGTGTGCACCCCGACTTCTTCGTCTATCTTGAGAGATTACGAAGGCTCAATGAAACCACTAGAGTAAATGCGCGCAGGGAAGTTGAAGCCTGGCACCAAGCTGTTTTTGGGCCCAACCAGTCTCAGGATCAAGCTTCTCAGACGGTTAATTCTCAACAACCCCATGCTTCTCACATGATCAATGAGTCCCACGATGAAGCCTCTCGCATGATTAATGAATCACAGGACGGGGATTATCGCATGCTAGACGAGTCCGAGGATGAAGCTTCTCGGATACTTAATGAGTCCTATCAAGGAAATTCGCAATTTACCAACGAATTCAACCAACCCTCGTACCATGCTGGTACCGAGCATGTGTTACAGCCATCCGGGATGGGCGTACGTGAGCAACATGGAACCCAATATCCCACTGCAGCCGAATCATCTGGGCCGATTCCACATGTCCATTTTGAGACACCTGATCCCATGGACACTGCCGCTAGGGACCATGCCCATCACCATAGGCCTCCTTCCCCTTACCCTGCAGTGACTCGGGGCGAATCCTCTGCTGCTCCAAACCCCATGCCACCTCCTGCTATACCAGCACCTGAGCCACGCGGGTATACCGACTGGGGAAACCCTTACAGATTTCCATTCGACCCAGCTCCGTTTCCCGAGAATGCCACCCCTTATGCTCCAGAACGCATTATCCAAGCATGGCTTATCCGGCAGCAGCTTATTGCCGGTGTTCGTCCTGAGGATATTGAGCCCATGTCAGTCCCACGCGGAAGGCGGCACCGAACCCCTCCCTACATGATTTTGAATGAGAGCGGTGCCCATATCATAAGAATTGAGCCTGCCTCCTTTGAGGGTGTCATGCTTCCTCTGCCCGTCCTTCCTTGGCTGCCGCGGCGCCCAAGTTCCAACGCACCCACTGCGTCTGTTTCATCCAATGCACCCGATGCTTCGGGTCTACCCACTGGACCAAATATCGCGACTGCTCCAAACCCAGCGAGTACTCTAAACTTGTCGGTGGCCTCAAACCCCACCACAAACCAGCCAGTTGCTTCTCATTTGCCAGCTGGAGCAACATCGCTAGCTGCTCTAACCCCGCCGGACCCTCCAGCCCTCACAGCTGATCCAAGCTCCGCTAGTACGCTAAATTCTTCGGTTGCCCCAAACGCGTCGGCTCCTCAAACGATCCCGGTTGATCTAAGCTCAGCTAGTTCTCTCAACTCGTCGGTTACCTCAAATATGCCGGCTACCACAAACCCGCCAGTTTCTTCACACTTGCCAGCTGCTCCTGTTTTAGCAGACCCCACTGTTGTTTCAGACCCAACTTATACACCAGAACAAAGTTCGGGAGATCCAAATCAGGATGTTGCAGAAAGTCAGACCGCGGATCCGCGTATGGTGGCCTTCTTCCAACCTCTTAGGCTACATGAACCTACTAATTTACCCTCACTTTCTGGACCAGATTCGAATCCAGAAAGACCAAGCACATCTGCGTTCAGCTCCAATGAGAACAGCCAAACTTCCGCCGTTGCCCTCCAGTCGCAGTCGCAAGCCAGCTTGCCCCAGACTGTGCAAAACCGTACTGATGCTGATTCCATCGGTTCTCAAGAAGTCCATGGTGTTGGGGTGTCTCGGGGCCCTTCGCAGGACCGAGACTCTTCAACTATCTCTCCTCTGTCGAACGAAGGGACAGAGACCGGTAATGTTCCTCCTCCCCATACCCCCAATGGCAATGGGGTTGTGCATCACGCGATCACCTTGTCGGAGCCCGAGGATCCTGATGAGCCCGGGGCGCCTCGTCTGCGTCGTTTTACCATCGATGGAACAGATGATTCACTCGTGGTGGGCCGCTTTTCTGAGGAGGTTAAGGCTGCCGGCGATCAACCCTCCTTCAGAGGGTTGATCTAAGGATACGTCAATGTCTGTATGAGTATTCACCGAAGGCAATGTTGCTTACCCACGTAAGCATCAAGTGATTTGCGGGCGATCTTGAAACAGTTGTGCGAGTGGTGAGATTGTCAATCTTTGAAAAAGAAGATGGAGTATATTGTAGAGTATTACTGAATAAACTTGTTTAAGTATCAGTTGTTTTACGTCCTAAATCTACTACTATATAGCATGTAGAAACATATTTTTGTGCCTATGTACTGATACGTCCTGGCACTCTTGTATTAGATGTAGGGCCCCATGTTCTGAATTGCTCGCCTATGCAATAGAATATATATTCGTCCCCGATCAATGTACCACGGCATGTCACAGCTGTCCTCGCCTGTCGCTAGCGTTTCCTTATCAAAGGAGTCCTAGGTGGAGTACTTGGCTTCATGAGCTCAGAACGGATATCTAATATAAATAACAGTTATATCTAGGACCTGGGGGTATTGTTAGTATAACTCTGTATGTAAAATCTCTCCGTTATCGAAAAAGGTCACGAAAGTACATAAACAACATGACGTCACGTGACCCACATGTGACCCCACGCCCAATTCCGGCACAACTTCGACCTGCCCATGACATCAACCTACCTCTTTACTTTCTTAGTTCCTCGCCGATTTGGCATGGCGCTTGTCCTTTTGACCATACTGCAATAATGTCTTTTGTTGGATCTAACCCTCAGGATTTTCTGGGGAATGTCCCCTTTTTTCTGTCGGGTGAGAATGGCCGGGGGTTGTGTTCCAGCACATCCCGCTCAATCTCGGGCTGACTTTCAGACCACGACCCTGAGTTCCCTGCAACCACATCCATATCATGAGATGTTGCTTTCTGTTAGATTAAAAACTGTCAAGTTCTGGTCCTGGAATTGATCTCGCTATTTAATATGGGAGGTGGGGTTGGCTGAGTGCAGGGCCTAGTCTCTAGCATTTCACCGACATGCCGCACCTTTGGGGGCGTGGGGGAGGGGGGAAGAGGACTTACTCATTCTACTGGATTTTCTACTGGATTATACTGGACTGAGGTGGAACTATCATTGTTTTTAGGCTCTTCTTGCCTTGACCGACTCGTACATGACCCCTCATTCGATATGCTCTCCACCATTGCCGCCAGCCTTTTGTCTAGTCAACCGACCTAGACACTTGGATATCACCAACATGAATTCGCACCCTAGTGGGGCACAGCCATAAGGACACTGGACTCGCAAATTTCGGCTTAAAACGACGTTGCAATCAGGATTTCCGCCCATGTTTCATCTCTCCCCCGGTGGTATTTGTCCCCCAGATAGTCAACCATCAGTCTGTCTGCTGTAAATCACGACAAAGCTTCATTTCATCACACACTATTTTCCTGGAGGATGACCCGAACCTCGACAACTGACTAATCTACAACTTACAAGACATCGAAAAACTGACTGGCTGGCTGTGATACTGATCATCAAAGTTGTTTGCAACAAAGACTCACAGCGTGTTGAATCGGCCCTCCGAATTGACCAACAGCTCCATGACCATGGGGGAAAGAATGATAAGAGACTCCAGCCATTGATTTTATGGTGTGACCTGATAATCCAACGGGGATTGTCATGTTCACAATGCTGCCTTGGGAATGTTGGCCCATCTGGCCTTGTGCAATACGTAGATAGTTTCATTCGTGGGACAAGCCAACACGGTCTCAATGTGCCTTTGCCAAAAACAGGCAACTGCTGTACAAAAAGGCAGGGCAGGGCGAGCACCAAGGAGACAAAATGCTAGCCTAGCTAGCATGTCAGTTTCTCCCACACATGGGCACCACTGATCAGCTCGTCATGTGCTGAGCAGACACAGACTCGACAAATTCGGTACTCAAAAAGAAACTCGGAGGAGCCAAGCAGAAGTACAGGTTGCACTTGTCTTCGATAGCTGCACGCCAACCTTCCAGCATCCATGCGTCGAATCAAGTTGTAGAGCCGCAACGCGGATCAGTCAGCAACCCCGAGGTCTCCAACCTTGGGAAAGCCCACCTTCCACGGCTAAGTAGTGTTCTTTCTTTAAGTGGAAGGGTGACACGCCGTATTTGATAAAACTGAATTGGTGCGTATGCCCCATTCAACTTTCCCCTTGCTTATGTTCTTGTTCACCAACGCTTGATAGTGTGAACAGTTCGGAATCTGGAAGAACTATCGTTCCGGGTCCCCCAAACCCGAAAGACTTCCGCCTGCGATCGCCGACACGCTTGGATGCCATCGTTCACTGCGCTTTCTCATCATTATCTTCAGTTCAAGGCCACTTCCAAGGACCGGCCTCGCTGACATTTTCTACTTCTCCTTATTGAACCAGATGCCGTTGGCGACGTTTACATGGCTGCGTCCCGTACGAGTCCGGTGTTGAGAGACCAGTGGAGCGCTGACCCGGACCGTGATCCCCGAGACAGGGAGAGACGGAGGGGCCGAGGGTCAGGCCGTGATCGAGGGAGAAACAGAGGTCGTGACCGAGGCCGTCCATATCGGCCCAATAACCGCAATTTCGATCGCCCGGGGCGGTCGCCACCACGCGCGTCCCGCTTTGGCCCTGACTCTTCTCACGACCTAGGTGATTTCGCTCCGGATCGATCTCCTCCTCGAGGCTCTCCTCCACCTCGAAACTTTCACAACAGCCGTCGACTAGATTCAACCCAACCGGGGTCATCGGCCGGTGACTGGAACACCCACAACTTCGGACCTTTCGACAGAGAAGCCCCCGGTCTTCGAAGGGACGAGTTATCAACCGGACCTCCACAGAAACGGCAAAGGACTCGAAGCCCCTCACCGCGTGGCGGTCGTGGCCCTCTCCCTCCACAGCGTCCAAATTACTCCGATAACTGGGATATCCGGGATCGAAGCCCTACATTCAAGAAACGAGGAGGCCGCAACCAAGGTCGTGGTGCTCCGAGACGAAGGTCACCACGACGGGGCAGGGACCGTCGTGGAAAAGATCGTCGCCGTCCAGATATCCCACGTCTAGGAAGATCTAGATCACCGGTTCATGAACGAGGGTTTCACCCATCGCCCGATCGAAGGTCTCGTACCCCTGGTGATGATAACTATAGCGACCACGGATCTCACTATCGGTCAAACTCACGGCACTCTGTACGATCTGCAACCTCGAGATATTCAGCATCGTCTCGCAGGTCAAGGCGTGATTCGGCTATGAACGAATCTCGACCAATCCAGTCTGTTGTGGACAGTACTGCTCGGTCTCCATCTCCACCGCGCCCGATTCCGAGCTTTGACTCTGATAACTTCGGTCCTCCCGGAGAACACTCTAATCCCGTGCGAGATGAGTTGCCAATGCATGCCATGCGCTCTGACAATCAACCTCGCCGTCGGTCGTCCCGACCACAACTTGATACCCGACCCTATGCAAACCCTCAAAACGCAGCATCAACAGGCTCATACCACGGTTCGCCGCAACCGCCATCACCTTATTCTGCAGGACGAGGAGGGTGGTCTGGTCCGCCTCCATATTCTGGAACTGGGTGAGTTTTCTATTGCTTTCACTTTACATGTTACATTGTGAATTATACTAACACTCTTTCAGCCACGCCTCTCCTTACCGAAATGATGACTATTCATCGCAAAATGGAAACTACTATCACAACCAAGGTCAATTTAACGGCCCTAAAAATCATCACCCTCAGTCTCCGTACGGCGGGCTTCCTCACCGGGGTGGCCACTCTGGTGGCGGTCACCGAGGAAACTTTTCAAACCAGGGTCCCGATCGGCGATTTTCTGGCTCTGGTCCTCATTCATATCACAATGGACCTTCACAACGCGGCGCGAGGGGAAATTTCAACAACTTACAATGGACCGCATCGGGATCACGAGGCCGTGGGGGACAACATAGCCCTCACCCGGCACACAGTCATGGGTCACAAACTCCCAATCGACCACACTCCTCTCACAATGACATGCAATCGCCCCTAGCTGGCGAAAGTAATAATTATGCCCGGCCCTCCAGTAGAGATGAAGAGGAGAACAAGACACAACCCCAACCCTCTGGCGGAAATGCCCAGTCCATGCCGCCCCCGACCCAAGAGTCCAATGAACCCACGCCTGCAAACAAGGGCGGGAAATTCAGCTTTGCTTTCAAGTCAAAGGCTGCACCTTCCCCCGCTCCAAAGCCAGTACCGGACCTTGCCCAGAGGATGCAGCAGGTCCGCGAGCCGGCCCCTCGTGCACCAGAGCCACCCCAACAACCTCGCAATCGGTTTACCAATGGGCCATTGCCCAAATTCAAACCAGATCCGAGGGGTGATCGCCGTGACCGGGACCGTGGTGGACGAAATCGGGATAGAGACCGCAGAGATTTCCGCGAGCCACGAGAATTCCGTGATCCACGGGATCGCAGAGACGACCGTCGGTTCGATCAACGTCGTGATCGACGACAAGGAGAACGGCCCTCGGATAGGCCCCTTGCCTGGCAAGATCGCCGCCGTGAACCTTCTCCGGAACCACCGAGAGAGCCACCACCGCCCAAGGAGAAGCGGATTCTTACTCGCCCTAAACCGCGCCCCACGCTTCCCGATGAGTTCGCTAATGCCGAATCTGTGTACTACCGAAAGCCGGGAAATGAGTCTGTGATCGGTGCTGGAACATATGGAAAGGTGTTCAAGGGAATCCACGTCTATACCCAGCGTAAAGTTGCGCTCAAGAAGATCCGAATGGAAGGTGAGAAGGATGGCTTCCCTGTTACAGCTGTTCGAGAGATCAAGCTGCTTCAGCATCTCCGAAACCATAATGTTGTCAGCCTTTTGGAGGTCATGGTTGAAAAGAACGAATGTTTCATGGTCTTTGAATACCTTTCTCACGATCTGACTGGTCTGATCAATCATCCCACTTTCTCTCACTCTCTCTCACAAGAAGGATCTGGCGAAGCAAATGTTCGAAGGTCTCAATTACCTTCACCATCGAGGAGTTCTACATCGTGATATCAAAGCAGCCAACATATTGATCAGCAATCGTGGATTGTTAAAGTTTGCCGATTTTGGCCTAGCCCGGTTCTTCTCCAAAAGTCGTCAGCTTGACTACACCAACCGAGTCATCACCATCTGGTACCGACCTCCGGAACTCCTCTTGGGTGAAACCCGATATGGCCCCGCGGTGGACGTATGGAGCGCTGCCTGCGTCTGCATGGAGATGTTCACCAAAAAGGCTGTTTTCCCCGGTGAAGGTGGTGAATTGAGTCAGATGGATAAGATCTACAATGCTTTGGGTACTCCTACCAAGTCTGAATGGCCGGACCTTGTGGAAATGCCCTGGTTCCACCTGATGCGGCCAACGGAACGAAGGAAGCGTGTTTTCGAGAACGTATACCGTGATGTGCTGACGTCTGGTGCGATGGATCTTATATCCTCGATCTTCCGCTACGATCCCTCACAGCGGCCGAGCGCCGAGGACGTTCTCAAACATCCATACTTCGTATCGGAAGAACCAGCTCCTCACCCACCCATTGAGTACATTTTCCCCGCTCCCTTCTGTATGCTATCCCTTCTAACCTTTGTCTGCAGATTGGAACACGTCGAAGGAGACTGGCATGAGTTTGAATCCAAGGCGCTTCGCAAGGAAGCTCGGCGCGTCGAGTACCAAAACCAAAAGGACCGCGACAAGCGTAAGGCCGATGCATCGGTGCCTAGCAGCGATCGGGATTCCAAACGAACCAAGCAAGATTCAAGTGATCGTGTCTCTGCACAGTGATGACTCTTGATTGGCAAGTTAGTTTATTATCATTATTATTTTTTGCTGTCTTATTGCATCGGACATGGTTGGTGGAATGGTTTGCATTTACTTTTCACGAGATTCACTACCCTAGGTATTTGGGGTTCTTCCGGGGTCGTCTCTTGTCACATATTGCCCATTGATCAAAGAAAATTTAGATCAAAGTTATTATTGCATGGTCAATTATAATGGACTGATGTATGGACTGATGTATATGTGACTTTTCTTCCGGCCTACAAAAGCATACAGACCGGATTCTAGCGTTCACCCCTTGCCGCTTTTTGCTTTTTGCTTCGCTAAAATTGAGCCCCCGTGGACGTCCTGTAGTATTACATGATCCATCACCTGCTCAGCACAAAGTTCAGCGCCTGCGGTGCGGAGAATCCAGATGTTAACCGGCGATCCATGGATCGGGCCCAGGTGGCCAATCTTCGTTACTAAGCACCTGGGCCTCGGGGTGACAAGGCCTCGTACCAACTCATTCTAACTTCAACTTTACTTAAACCGTCCCATCCTATATGTGGGCGCTTATCCAAAACCGGCAGATTAGAAGGATTGTCGCCCTCGAAAGCAGAGAAGAGCAAGTTATCGCCCTGTATAGCCCCAGAGACGACCTTGGATTTGAACAGCTAGGTGGGTGATATTCAAAGTTGGGGGAAAGGAGGATTGCTAAGGCTCTATCGCAGATGCCGACAATGATCGCATCTGGGTGAGAACATCGGGCGATGGCGATCCTATAAATCCGCAAAATTGGACATTGCCATCGAGATCCAAAAACATTGCAATCTTATCACTTTTGATATTTACCCAAGCATGGGCAGGCTCTGCCGATTCTTCGGCCAACAAGCAGGCGAGCCGAGAGTTCGGCGTATCTCAAGTCGCTGAGAACCTCTCAACGGCAATGTACTTATTTGGCATTGGTTCGGGATCGCTATTTGCAGGGCCGGTATCTGAATCTATTGGAAGAAACCCAACGTACCTGGTGTCGACCTTTATTTATCTTCTCTTCCTTCTCGGTTCCGGGCTTACTCCCACATTTTCCGGTCAGGTTATATGTCGATATTTCGTTGGTTTCTTTTCTAGCGCGACCCTATCAATAAACGGATCTAGTGTCCGTGATCAATTCCGACCAGTCAAACGCACCTTTGTTTTTCCTGTCATTGCTTGGGCGAATATTGTTGGTAAGTACGCAGAATTAACAACCCCATAAAATACTGACATAACTGGGGGTTAGGCCCGACAGTTGGCCCGATAGTAGGCGGGTGGGTTGTTTCTAACCCAAGCCTAGGCTGGAGATGGACAGAGTTTATTTCTCTCATCATATCAGCCGTAGCATGGGTTATAGCACTTCTCCTTCTCCCTGAAACATATTTGCCAATATTACTAGACTGGAAATCGAGGCAATTGCGACACTACACTGGAGATACACGTTACGCATCTGACCACTCCGCAAGCTCCTCTTTCTTTGGACGGGTGAAAGATATTCTCCCACTCCCTGCAATATTTTTCGCAACAGAGCCGGTGATTGCGGTGCTTGGATGCTATCTGATCCTCTTATACTCCATTTTGTTTACCTTTTTATCCGGATTTGACTACATCTTCACACAAACGTATGGTATGTCCACAGGACAAACAGGATCATGTTTCGCCGCCATCGCAGTAGGTGCCACAGTCGCCTCATTTGCTGCGCCTTGGCTTTACATATGCGCCCGCCAGAAGACCAAATACCAGCATGGCGCCACGGTGCCTCCCGAGTTCCGTCTTTGGCCAGCGATCATTGCCAGCCCTTTCCTCCCAATTTCGCTATTTTGGCTGGGATGGACCAATTATACTACCGTGTCGATGTGGTCCGGCCTTTCTGCTTGCGGACTTTTTGGTATCGTTTTAATTTTTATCTATATTAGTTGCTACGAATACATCATTGATAGCTACGGGAAGCACTCTGCCAGTGCATTAGCAAGCATTACGATGTTGCGATACCTGGTCGCAGGTGGTATGGTCATGGCATCCCGTCCTATGTACGAAGGAATCGGTGTCCATTGGACGATGACCATCCTAGGTTGCGCGTCAATATTACTGGTCCCTATGCCATTACTCTTTAAGAGCTACGGTGTTCAGTTGAGACGGAGAAGCCGGTACGCAGAGAGGCCAGTTAGCCGCACGAACTCGCAGCTTGTATCATCTGATGCTATCCGTGTATAATTAATACTTTTTTCCTTCCAAATAACACTTTGGAATACCTTCGATTGTCCTCGCAAATTTACGCAGTACTTCTCAACATTACTTAGGAGCTAAGCCCGATGGAGCACATGGATGTAGCCAGTAAGATGAATTAAGATCCAACGAGAATGAGATGTGATGTAGGCAAGACTGGGTATCGAAATCCCTAGCGTGGAAGAGGCACAGGCTGCACTTCTTCACCTACCCTATACTCTCGCGCTGAACGTCCCCAAAATCCTTTAATGTGCTCTATCTCTCGCCTGAGTTGACTTGTTTTGGTAAGAAGAAAATTCACCCACGTGGGAATGACATATACTAGTCAGCCTATGATCAAGTAACTCACTGTGCTTTCTACCGGTGTATCTGTATCGCCGCCTTCACGTTTAGCAGCCAAGATACGCATTAAACACGCCATCTATAGCACATTTGCTACTAAACGAGTACTGTATCTATTTGAAGTAGTAACTAGATTGTATTTACCTCATTCGGGTCAGGAATGAAATCTATGATGACCCCCGAGATTATTTAGCCTTTGGAAATACAAGGGTCTCGTCGCTTGGCTTAAGTACAAGATCACAATGCACTAAACAGCTAGAGTGTGCATACTCGGGTAGCTGGTCGATCAATCCCTGGTATGTGCATTGCATAACTTTGCGACCACTTTCGAGGAGAATAACTTCGTCCGCATACGGAAGTAGGGACCCTAAAGACCTTTATATTAACAACCTTACACCAAAGGGCCATATGATATATTCACGGGTATATGTCGCAAGGACCACAGTTGTATTTGTCCGTCGAAAGATCCCATCGTACCCAAATAGGCCCTCGCCAATAATGCGCGTGTTTTGTGCGTCCAGTCCACTGAATGTGTCATCAAGGACTACATTGGGGAGCCGAGAGTAGACTGCGCGCGCAAGAGCCTAGGTTAAGTTAGCATTTAGTCTAGGAAAGTAGACTTTTCGGTTGTTCTCTTACCACTCGCTGTTTTGCCCACCACTGAGGGCTATTCCACTACTGCCAGCAATGTGCATGCTCCCTTGAGGGAATTTGCTTATATCGTCCTCGAGTCCACAAGCCGAGATGGTAAGTTCATACCATTTCCGATCTAATGGCGTCCATCCAGTGATGTTATCCTGGATGGAGCTATTTATGATCCAAGGGTCCAGTGGACAATAAGCTATCTTTTCCGGGGCACGGTACACGGTGCCACGATCAATCTGAGTTTGACCCATGATCGTGCGTAGAAGAACGGATTTTCCACACCCGACTGAACCCACCTCCATAACGATTTTGCCTGTAGGAATGGACAGAGTTAGGTCGTGAACAACGGGAGAGCTTTCAGCTGTCCAAGATATGAACGTGTTCTGGAATGGCACGAATTGGTCGCACGAAACTGATCTTCTAGGGGCCTTGATAGCCCTGGAAACCTGTGAAAGTTCGATACCACCATCTATCAAAAATTCAGATTTTGTATGGGTAGGAAGAAATTCACTTGATCTTTCTCGTAGGCAATAACTCTGAATCCAGTCGAAGCAGCCTATAGACTGTGTTACTGTAGGTAGTGACTGGATGAACGACATTAAAGGAGTTGTCAAGATGGAGATAAGAGACAATGTGGTGAATGCCTGTGCAGTGAGGATCTGCGCATCATGCTTGGCCACAGCTATAATTGTATACACGAGGAAGACTGCGTACGGTGAAAGGTCCACAGAAACAGATGCTGACCAAATCAGAATCCCATTGGGTTAGTGCATTTCTACAATGTTTTCTCTCAGTCAAAGAACACAACTTACATGGCATAACGACTCCTACAAGAAGCTTTCGAAATCGCTTAGAGGCACCGAGTTCGACCTTCCGGCATCGAGTAATGATATCAGATAAGACGACTTCGAGTCCCATCATCTTGACAGCTTTTATATCTTCGAGCATCGTCGTGGTAGCCGCCGAACGTTCCTGGATATGTCCTACTCACTTCTTCTGCGCCTCTCCACACCTAGCGGATACCGGGGTAGTGGCGATAATACACCCCACGGCGATGACGGCCGGGACCATGCAAGCGATATACACTTGATTCTCGAGCAGCCAGATAGCAACTGCCACAGAGATTAGAGAGGCCCAGATCTCATGCAGTGACCGCAAGCTCGATATGATACGTGTCGTGTTCGTACTCACAAGGGCGACCGCCTCCGCATTTTTGGAGTTGGTTGTACCTCGCAGCGCTAGAGTCTGCTCATGAATCATGGCAATAAGACCCGACCGGACGACAGTCGCCAGACGGCTGGCCTGGCGGTAGTATATCGCCGTGGAGACGGCGATTCCCGTGTAAACGAGCGCATATGCCCCTACCAGTGCATATCCGTATTGTTACCCTTTCGCGGTTGTTGAGGAACTCATCCATTCAACAGTGGCAGAAAGCAGAAATGGCTAGCAGAAGGTAAATCCTAAGAGGAGAATTCGAGGGACGATCGCGGAGAGAAGGGGCCGATAGTACGCTCGAAAGGTCGCTTTGATCAGTCGGTACTTCCCGTGGGTGTTGGACCATGTATGCGCCAGGCGCGCCTCTGTAATTTCTCCTAGTAGCGTGGAGTCTATATCTGGCAGGTCGTCTAGACAGATAATGGATTTATAGGCGTTCCAGAACAGCGGGAGCACCCAGGCAAAAAGGTTGCGTCCCCAGAAGCCGTGAATCTCCTCGAGTGTAACATTTCGGTAGACTGGTTGGATGAAGTTCACTCTCCGAGCTGATTCTAGAACAGTAGTCATGATAACAACAATATAGATGACCGTGAAGCGCCCTCGGGGAACTGGAATGGAGGGGATGAGCCATAATGTGCGCAAGTGAGGTATGTATAGGATAGACAAGGCTGAAAAATAAACGATGAGCGTGTCAGTGGGCTGGATTGTTCGTTGGTCCTCGAGAAAAGAAAGAATGATCGCTCCGAGAGAGGTGGCTATGTTAATCGCCGCCGCCGGAGTCGAGATCTTGGTGTGAAGCGCTACGGTTTGCACTTGGTACACCGTGAAGATTGTCTGCAGCACAAAAAGCACATATAGTAGGATCTAGACAGTAAATAAATGTTCCCTTAGCCGATGAGAAATATAAAGTTACCGATTTATAGATTGCAAATCTAAGGGAACTGGACTTCACGGGTGACCGTCGCAGGATCTCGAGCCGAGGGATGAGCCACACTAAGAAAGCGACTGCTGGCAAAATACTGAAAATTGCGTCTTCGAAAAGTAGGGTGAAGTCGAATGATCGACAGGCAATGTCGACTGCAATCTTAAATTGGTTGTCACTATTGATAGGACAAATGTTCGAAATCATCTTGGAATGTATGTTGCTATCTGGTCACGATTTGAAATGGCCAGCTTTTATGTTTCCCGAGCAAGATAAGAGATACTACGTGCTCAAAAGTCCTAAGCCATAGTTCTAAGCCATTGGGAAAGCCTAGCGTGATATCGTAATGGTAATTCATTGACCTTCTTACTGGCTAAAGGCGAGCTGTGCGCGCTTTTAACCTGTCAGATCCCTGCTCTAGTTCTGGAGAGATCAGGATCAGATAGCCGAATGTAAGGGCTTACGATCACTGTCAGCCTCCGTTTCGTCCATGAGCTTTGAAAATAAAAAAAGAGCGCAATTAGTACTTGCAGTAAAGTCCGAATAGCCCATTTTTAGTCAATCTTTCCAAAGAGTCGATTAGGGGGGGAAGTGAGGACAGGGATAATAGGTCAACACGCGCTTATTCGACAAGTTTTAGCCACCAGAATAAAGAAAGCTTGGCTTTTGCTAAGCACTACCAAGCCACTAGGAGTGTTTACGGAGTACGGAGTACACAAAACAGACTTGAATAAAGTACAGTTGATGCAGGGTACGTGCATTAGCGTCCCTTCTCGCCTGATAACGGAGAATCTTGAGGCTGGACCCGGGCCCTTTGGGAATAATTTTACTGGTGTGATTTTTAGCCGCATGCTCATGCCTGCTCCTCCAGGATCCATTCCTGGAAGAGCGGGAATAAGACGAATTGAACCTCCCAGTGCCCATCTCGCATTCTTTGCTCCGGCCGTAGATAACCGGACCAGGTTTAACGCCACCCAAATTACCCTGCGAGTGAGACTATCTCCTCCGGTGTCTGTGTGCTGCACACATTAGGCTTGCGTATCCCTGTAGGGCACGTACCGACTTGCGCAGCGCATGGAAGGTAGCCTGCGCATGAGCCTCTAACACAGGCGGAACTTGCTCCGGCGCCGACGCCCGCAAGCCATACTCGGCTACACAGAGATAGCGCACTTTTGCGTCGGCGAGTTGGAAGGCCTCGGGAATAGCATTCTGGCTTGGGAAATACCACACAGAGTGTCACAGGACCGCTCTATCGAAGGGACGGTTGTTGAAATCATCGCGCAGTAGGCTGGAGATGTCCACACGTCGAAACTCAATCGTGGCCAGCGCGAGCACTAGGCTCGATTCGCCTTGCCCGCATCCCACATCTAGCGCACATGAGGCGGGTTCAATCTGGCAGATGGGGCTAAGAAGAAGTTTGTGCTGGAATATCGGTTCCACGATAGACTCGCGTGCTTGCTCGTCGTGGAGATAGCTTGCTAAGAGGGTATCCATTTGGTAGTACCAAAGTATGACCAGTGATTAGATATATATAAATCGGTAAGAAGACTACCACTCACATGCAAGCAACTTCGATTTCTTGAAACGTAGGAGATTTATATCATGTTTCTTCCAAGATCCCGCACTCAAAAGAGTAGTAGTGCATATAGCAACATCTATGGATTCATTATAAGGGATGGGGTAGTTTTGGATATTTGATATCAACGCTCCACGGCATAGAATATTCATGTTAAAAATAGGTATATCTGATATCTATAACACGAAATGTGACAAGGTACTGCCCTAATTGGATGCAACCTCCATATACTAAGTCACCTGTGGGCAATGTTCGCCCATGGATGGTGACACTCGGAAAAGTAGAGCCACTTTTCCTAAGCCAGTCCCGCTTCTGTGTTTCCTACCTCTGATTCCGTCCTTTCGAGGCGGATAAGGAAAATGATCGTTGCCATCGCGCCATATAAGGCAGCCGAAATCAGGTATGGCATACTCAGCCAGGCACCACCCAAGTCTATTCCCCAGCGGAAGGCCCACGACATCACTGGTCCAGCTAAGAGTGAGCCGAGAGTATCCATCAGGGCCAAGGCGCTGTACAATGTGCCTATCATTGTTGGTTCCGTCAAGGAACTGATCAGGCTTCGGGCAAAAGTCCCGAATCCTGACCCTATGGTATAAATTGCAACTCCTACTTTTTTCAAATTCAAATCATTAGGAATGGTACACACAATGATGTTGAGAGTGACAAAATATAGTGGAAATTAGCCCTATAATTTTAATAATTCTAAATAAAAACTTAAGCACCTAAGAATAATAATTGAGTTGGGCCAGGGCGGCCTGAACAGGACCTTCCTTACAGAGTTCAGGAATCCCTGCTTCTGACGCCGAGGACTCGGAACCTTCATAGTACTGCTGGCATATGATTGACTCCAAGAGACGTAGTTGCGGTGCAGCGCTAATGAAATACCCAATTCCCATCAGAAGGTATATAAGAGCATAGAATATAGCAGGACGCCAGTAGACAATGCTAACATCATTATGTTGATCTGGACCCGAGTCTATTATAGACTGATTGACCGAGGGATACTATGACTGTTCTATCGTTTCGTGATAAGTCTTTTTTTTCTCCAAGTGTAGATTGAATGAATATTGGAAAAAGGTTCGCACTGGCCAGAAGAGGGGTTTTGGAACGGAGTGAAGGGAGAAGTACATAGTCGTTGAGATGAGATAGCAAGCAAGTACGATAGATACCGATACATACTATGACCAACATACCAACATGGCCGTGTCTCGGGAGATCCGACGGGCCACCCGGGTAGCCCCACCTTTCTCCCACGCGGTCCGTTGCGACGCATTGTGATAGCAATCGCGGTACTTCTAGACAAAACAAACAAAACATAAATGACATGTGAACTACACTGCACACTCAGACTTGAACTAGGAAGGTCAACTATTCCCTACTTTATAGTAAAGCTAACGCTAATGAAATACTGCCTTCTACTCAACCATTCCTATATACAACTATGTTTGGAGAAACAGAGACCAACTACTCTCGAGTGTCCTCAAGCGATAGAGGGCCAGATGAGCCCACCCTGGAAGAGGAACGGCCTCCCCCTGACCATTCTTGTCAGTTTCCTGGTGGGCCTGATCTTTGGTTCTATCTTCTCAACCTTGGCGATTGCGGCTATCAACCATATCTACCTTAGCGTCAATACCACCGGGACTGTACCTCTTACAAATGTAAGAGACGTCAATTTCATAAACGACTGCGGTAACTCGTTAGCCAAAGCGCGCCCCCGGGGTTGTGCATTCGATACCATGATGCATCTGCCAGGACGCCCGCCTGACTGATAGGTTTGTGGCGGAGGGAAAATGGGCCTGGTGTGCTGACCGACACGTATAGCACCTCATTCCGTATGTGTTGGAACAAGGTGAGCATGAAGTGGCATCTGCGGCGGACAACTACCATCGTTCCCACTGCTTCTACACCTGGGAGGTGGTGGTGCGCGCGCTTCGCAATCGCAGTCCCATGGTGGAAGAAATGATGTCTTACGACCATGTCATGCACTGTAGGATGATGGTGCTGCAGCCTGTGCGGGTGAACTCAACCATAGGTGTGGAAATTCACCGAGAATATACGCGCTGTGCGTTTTACGAGACGTGGATTCACAATTTGCCGGAAGATGAATATTCCTTCAGAGACTAAGCGCAATATGCCCTTGGCTATACATTTATGGTTCTCCTTTTTCTTATCTGTCAGATATAAACGTAGTGTGGAAGGTAGACCGTAAATCCACTAATTTAATTTAAGCTCTACGCCACCCTATCCATAACTGGTAACTTGCGAGACTCCTTCAGGGCAGGCATATATTATCGAGCGAAAGGTACAATTGTAGGTATCAAAATCTTGCGACATATCTTCCTATCTTCCTGGCGTTCGGATCAAGCTCGATGTACACGTCAGATCAGCTATCTAGTATAGAGAAATAAGGCATGCATTCAATAGACGGCTAGCTAGATGGATGATTATAGTGTGTTTCAAAATTGGTCGGGTAGGATGGGTGGCCCACCCGCTGGTGAATACGTTAGCTAGAATCGAGGGTATAAAATCAATAGGTGCCCAGAAAGACGATATACTTTACTAATATACTTTACTAGATTGAAGCATTTAAATTCAATATGTAGAGATGGGGTAGCGGCTCGCTTGCGCAATATGTTAGTGAGCAGGACCGTAACCACCCTCATAAAGCGCGGCACCTCCGCGGCCTAAAATCCGGTATATATACTGGTACATATGTAGGTAAGGTACTAGATATCAGTCCATTGGTCACTGAAAGAGACAGAACTATATATAGCATATTCAAAATATATTTCAAGGCTCAGACTTTGCCTGTTGACCGCATGCTCATCCAGCCCGGGAGCCCGAAGGCCAAAGTAGTAGGGCGGTTGAGACCTCGGATTACCAGAGAGCTCAAAAGAGTTTCTTCATTGCGTTGAAATATGGAAAGAATTAAAATAGAGATGGATTGCTATTGAATAAACGTACGTACGTACCCTATGCTACATAAACCGAAGAAACAAAGGAAAAAAAAAAAAATAGTATGTGTCGTCAATCAGGTCATCAACGTTTCATGGGTTGCTCGTAAGCCCTCGTGATGATGGTTTTAGATGCGATCAATTTATTCTCGACACACACATCGGAAACGCCAGTGCTGTAAAAAGTAATGAGTCGCCAGCGTTGATTTGAGTTTGGTGGTCTTGATATAAAAAGAAGAAGAAGAAGAAAAAGAAGAACCGAAGAAAAAAACGAAAGAAAAAGGGAAAACTGGAAAAAAGACGGTGCGGGCTGCAGGCGAAAATGGGGCTCACCTGACTCTGATTGGTCAGGACAGCTGCTCCTCCAAACTGCAGTCGAGTCTCCGATTCATATCGACACTTTTCCCTTTCAACCTGATTCCCCCTCTATACGTTTGTTTCTCTATTTCGATATTTCTTTTTTTAAAAACAGCATTACCACTATCCTCCCTATTACCCTCGTCCGAACTCATTTACTCTCCCTGGATTCTCCCCCGAATTTCTTATTCCTCAAGAATTTCCCTCCATCTGCCACTATACTACGTCACTGAGATAATAGCGCCGGCGTCTCATCTCTCTGTGTAACGCTTCTTACGGATCCCTTCTTTTCCCCTGATGACCGCTCGTGTCTCGGGCAGTCTTCTCACCCGCCGCGATGGATAATGCAAACCTGTGGACCCGCCGGACAAAGTTAGTCGTGTGCCCCTCACCCAGGTTGACCATTGTAACTTATATCGGTGTTTTCCCCCCCGTTTTATTAGCTCGTCCAAGTTGTCCCTGTCTACGTCCGGAGCGGACGCGAAAGACAGTGCCCGTGTCGAACTGCCCCGCCCATCCAAGCGGTTCGGACCCGACAGCTCGCATGGCCGCTCGAATCCATTTAACGCAATATCCCCATTATCCGGCGGCGTTTCCTCCCCATCCACCAATGCCTCCTCCGCCTTCGGCCTGGGGTCCGGCGCATTCGCCTCTTTCGGTGCGCCGAAGACTCCCGGTGGCTCCGAGTTGAAAACACCCGGACGGGAGGTACCCTTGGAACACGATGAGGCTACCCGCAAGGCCTTTGAGAACCACTCCGTCGCTGCTCCTGGTGAGCATCCGTTGAAGTCTACGTGGATCGTCTGGTACCGCCCCCCGACACCCAAATACTCCGACTATGAAAAGTCCACCGTGCCGCTCGCTTCGATGTCTTCGGTAGAGAGCTTCTGGGCGGTGTACTCTCATCTTAAACGTCCCTCTCTTCTTCCTACGGTTTCCGACTACCATATCTTCAAGAAGGGGATCCGCCCCGTCTGGGAAGATGAGGCGAACAAGCGGGGAGGTAAGTGGATCGTACGTTTCAAGAAGGGGGTTTCCGATCGATACTGGGAGGATCTCCTTTTGGCTATGGTTGGGGACCAGTTTGCAGAGGCCGGGGATGAAGTCTGCGGCGCTGTGCTGAGCGTCCGAGGCGGTGAGGATGTTTTGAGTGTTTGGACGAGGATTGACGGGGGGCGCAATATCAAGATCAGGTATGCCCAAAAAACCTGCTTTATTTCACCGTGCGGTATATCTAACTTAATTCCAGAGAAACGATCAAGCGCCTGCTTTCTTTCCCGGCAGACACCAACATCATCTGGAAGAGCCACGACGACAGTATTGCACAGCGTTCTGCTATTGACCAGGCTCGCCACGACAAGACTTCCACTGGCACTGGTCATCAAGAACGGCGGCGTACAGGCCAAGATGACTCGGACAAGGCCAAACCGGCTGTGGCCCTATGAACGGATCCATAATCCCAGCCTGGCCTTGGGCCCTGTATAGTAAACCCGAAAAAAAAAACCTTCAATCACGAATCATTGGGACGCGTTTGGGTCTTAGGGGCGGTGGGGCATCGAGGCGAACTAAGCGGTTTGATTTGATTTATGTCTTGAGTGAACTCATCTGTGCTATGTGTTTCTTTTTTTTGTGTCTACCGAGCTCATGCGTGATGTTTTTCCTTTATGTACCCAACATGAATGCAGCACCAGCTGCTATTGGTTTTCTCGCCTGGGAGTATTGTCTATCCTTCGCGTGATGAAATGGTTTACTATGTGAAGTAAAGCCCTTTCATATAGACTTAGTCTATTCGACGTTAGGGCTCTGCTAGATATTCTAACTACAAATATGTATGCGTAAGGCCACCAAAGATATCGGTGTATGCTCCCGGGAATATGGGTACAATAAGGTATATGCAGGCCAGACACCCCGGTAACTAATGTAGGGTTGTTTATTGTTCCCACTATTGGGCTATTGGGGCGTTGAGCTATTGTTGTGAATAGTGTCAATAAGGTAAAAAGGTATGCATAAAGCAAATCACTGAGACGATGAAACCAACCCCTTGGAACATATTAAATCTATTCATTTATTCCAATATTCCAATATAATTATCAAACAATGAATGTCTATATGCCTAAATCCTCAGGCGCCAATCTGTGCTGACCGCCCTACGGCCCAGATGACGATGCCGGCGTACTTGCGTTTGGATGAGAAAAAAAAAAAGTGACAATAGACAAACAATTAATTGGAATGGGATCTATGCAATGCAGATTGTCATGACATTGTGGCTGCCTTCATGCCTGTGTTTAAAAACCTAGTCGACCTCTTCTCTAACTTGTCCCCGCGACGCCAACGCGAGACCGAAGATCAACGATCTGCTGTTGAACAGGCTCGACCACCGCCCTCGACCCCTCCTCGTTCTCAACCAGCTGGATCCGGTCATAATCCCTTTACTCTGCTATCTGACGAACTTAACCTGACCGAAACCACCTCTCCCAAAAACGCTGGGATCGCCCCTCTTCCAACGGTGTGTATGCTCCCGTATCTCCATGCGCGTCCCGCCGATATTTGCTCTTTGGCCGTTATGATAACTCGACCTTGCGCAATCTCCTCGTCTTGCACACTTATATCTTGGCTTTGCTTGTTCTCTTATTGCAAGCTATCCTCGCAAATTCGACTTAGGACTAATTGATCTTATCAGGTTGTTCATAGTTATGTCGATACTTTTTCGTCCCCAACTGGATCTACAACCGCAGACGAACCATTGCGCACACGTTCCTCCCACCATTTTCTAAGTCCCATTACCCGGTTAGACATGTCCCATCGGAACCCACAGTCTTTCCCTGCCGGCAGGCAAAAGCTGACACCCCTACCCGTTCCCAGGCAGGGTGATTCGTCGCCGATGTTGAACAAGGACCAGCAGAAGGATTCCCAGAATCGGCAAGATGAGGCACGTTTGCTCGGAGCCAGATATCCGTATGTTCTACGAGTGTGTGTGTGTGTGTGTAATCGTTCGAGATATTTTGGCTAACCAGCTTTTTCTGTGTGCGCTTGATAGTGACTCCAATGCTGTCAAGATAAAGCCCGGAGCATTTCATGCTAGGAACAAGAAGCCAGGGGTAAATGCCCGCATTCATATTCATGACTATGACATCCCATCTGATCCTCGGTCACAGTCTAGCTTCGCGCCGTCCCCCGTAAACAAACTTGCACAGAATGCCCGAAGCAGCGGTCCGATCCGCTCTTACGGAGGATCAAATCAACAAACTTCACGGATGAAGTCGCGCCACTCTGAGGATGAATTCGAAGAGTCGAGTCGGCCTACCAAGATGCGGCGCCAAAGTGAAATTAGTGAAACCATCGACCTCACAGCTCCAGTGAACCGAGCAACAGATCAATTGGAACTGCCCACTCTCTCCCAACCAGGTGCAACTCGTCGCAACCGACATGAAGGTTCCAGGGGCGCGGAGAATAACGTCCAAGCAGCGCAAAGCTCTATTCGTCCTCGGCATGGCCAATTTTCTTCTATAGACTCTCGGGATGAACGGTTTACTGAAACAGCAGCACAGCAACGGCGTCAAGCGAGATCTGCGGATCCCCGTCCGTCTCAGGTTAATGACAAATCTCACCAGGCTAATGAGGCCGTTGTTATTGGGAGCATTGAAGATGGACCAAAGAGAGCTGGTTGGAATCGCACTGCAGTTTCTTCGACGAACGTCCATCGTCCTGTCAACGGCAGGGAAAGTCCAGATGAGCTTCAGGGCGACATCACCACACATCCAGTACCGAGACCCTTCTCAGGAACACAAATTCAAACCACTCGCCCATCCAAACCCGGAATGCACACATCACCAACGACTCGAAAACGCTCCCCATCCGATACCCGAACTCCAGACTTTTCGCCGCCATCACACGCTACAAAAAAGGCTAAGGTCTCTCAAAAGAACTCTGATAAGAAACACCTATTGCGCTACTTCCGAACCGGCTCCTTCGGCAAATCTTGCGACATGAAGGAATTCGTCTCCATTTATTCAGACAAGGAAGGCCTTGAACTTCGCGGGAATGCACTCGGCCAGGGTAACACAATGTCAATATCTTTTCAGCAAATCCGTCAAATTTTCATCGGCGAGCCCCCCAGCCGGAAAGTGAGAATCAAAATGCTACAAAGTTGTGCCCAAGCAGACGACCAGCTCGACGTTGAGTTTTGGACCGCCGACGAGAAACTCAAGTTCCTGGAAGTCTTGAAACAAGCCAATAATAAGGCTCAGCGTCTTATGAAAGAGATGTAGGTTTTATCCGCTATCTTTTAGATAAGTTCGCAGTTCACTAACATCAGAATAGGAAATGGATGGACAAAGCTTTTTTGAAATACGAAAAGCAATTCCCACCGGAGAACAAGCTGCCCAAGACGCGGCTTCTTGATGACTTGGTGGAAGACCCCGATCCTGCGCACTCTCCTCCTCCCTCGCGACGACCCAAACTTTCAAAGTCCTTGAGAGATGACCATGGTGAAGTCAACAATGCCAATCTACTTGAGATCAAACGCTCTGCCCAGGAAAAGGGAAAATATGGAAACGGCATTGATCCCCAAGCGTATGCCAAAGAGCAACAAAATTCCCTACCTCTTGATAACGACACTGAGGTCGATGTTCGATCTACCGTCAACCCACCGGAACGCGAAACCCGGTCATCTACCCGCCGTGTCGTTAACAAGCCCGGCGTATCGAATGGAGACATTACATCCGAAGCACACTCGAGCTCACTTCTCAGGAATGATTCTTTCAGGTACAAGTGGAAGAAACCGTTGGTGTATCCGCGAACTGGAAAGAAGAAGGCCGAAGTCACACTTGAGGATCGTGAACGGTTACTTCGGGATGACTTCCTGAACGATAACCTGATCGCCCTGTACATGCGTTTCCTTCAGGATCACCTCGAACGCACCAACAAGGAGGCTGCCAAACGAATCTACTTCTTCAACACCTACTTCTTTGCGACTCTCACGAACACCCCACGGGGGGACCGTGGAATCAACTACGGTGGCGTTGAGAAGTGGACTCGGAACGTCGATCTCTTCAGTTATGATTATATCGTCGTTCCCATCAATGAGAATGCGCATTGGTATGTTGCAATTATTTGCAACTTGCCAAGTTTGTCTCTTGGTTTTGCCAACGGCGTAGAGCCGGTTCAAACACCGACTCTACAGAAAGAATTATCCAATGCGTCTGAGAGTGAGATCCAGGAAATTGAAGAGACCCCTGAGCCGGAACAGAGGTCAAAGTCAGAGCCCGAAGCTTCTAACAGGACCAGTCAACCTCGTGAGATTCCAAAGGGGTCTGAGACCAGGGGGGGCATTGCTTCCCTGCAGATTGAGCGGGATGAGCATGCGATCCTTGATACACCCGACCAGCACCCACTTCCACTCCCGAATCTCTCCAAATTCGCAGCCCAAAAACTCGCCCAGGACCAAGCCGCGGCGTCACAACCAACAAACAAATCCAAGAAGAAGAGAACTGGGTTAAAGTTGGATCCCAACCAAACAACGATCATCACATTTGATTCCCTCGACATGCCTCGCTCCCCTACCATCAAAATCCTCCGCGAGTACATCTGCCGCGAAGCAGTGTCTAAACGCGGCTTGGAACTCGACCCAACCGAAGTCAAGGGCATGCGAGCACGCGACATCCCTCTTCAGCCCAATTTCTGGGACTGCGGTCTTTATCTGCTGGCATACTTGGAGAAGTTTGTTCAAAGCCCTGATTGGTTCATCACGAAGGTGCTACAGCGGAGTATGAGTTCTAACGATGACTGGCCCCCACTAGGCTCTGGTCTCCTGAGATACCGTTTTGGCAAGTTCCTGGACGAACTGTACGAGGAACAGCGGCAAGCCGATGAACCAGTCATGGCAGCCAGACGACCCGTTTCATTCCTGCTTGGCCCGCCCCTCCCTTGTCAAGAAGAACTTGCGGATGTCGATGTGATACCTGAGTCTCAGCATGATACAGATCCTTCAAAGGACCCTGCGAAAACTGCCGATTCAAAGTCCGAAGACTCGAGTGAAGGGTCAACCACGGACCAGATGCATCTCTTACCTACCGAGAAACGCCTGAAGCCACACAAAACATCCTCCAACTCACCTACAGACACAAAGTCGCAAAATCGCCATGTTGCTCCACCAAGGGAGGAACCCATCATCCAAGTACCTGGTAGCCAAGAAGAGCCCGAAGTACGAAACACACCGCCCCCTACAAGAAAAGAACGAAGGAAACACAGCCCACGAGGCCCTTCGCGAAAGAAATGAGTCTGTGCATCCAACTGATACAGCCCTATTGTCTAAGATAATCTCGACATCTGAACGCAGTACCGGCTGGACCGGAACTGACCGTCTACTTCATGAATCAATATGTTCACTGTTGTTTTAGCGTTGTAATCCGTGTGCGTCATGGCATGTCCAGCGCATAGCCCTGCGTCGGCGTTCAATAAGAGAAGGATAGTGTTTTTGTTTCATGTCTTTACAACCATAGCATCAGATACCATCGTCCGCGTCGCAATGCGAATTTCATCGTTATTTTTCGGCAAAGTACCAATAATAACTACATATAATCAGACACACTTGAATGAGCTACCACTCACTCTCATTCGCCCCAACCCCAACCCACCACGCCATCTTATCCCTCTTAAACGACTCAAAATCCCATTCCGTATCCTCGAGCATATCCTTCCCAGCAGTCCACACATAAGTCACAGCCGAAACCTCCTCCTTCCCCTTATCAGTAACCTCAGCACCTGTCGCATTCAACATTTCGCGCAGCTGGCTCTCGGCAGTCCCCCCCCTCAGCAGAATGACTGTTATCACTACGCGCCTCCTGCAGTGTGCGCACAACAACTGGTTTCTTCTCATACTCAGAGCCCTCGAACCTATCCAGTCGGTGAACGTCGCCGTCTGTTAGTCCTGACACGAGAGTTCCTATGACTGATGTCCCAGCACTGATTTCTGGTGCAGATAACTTCTCCGTCTCGGTTGCTGTCTCTGGAACTTCGACAATCCCTGGGTAATCGGCGTTCTGCACGCGATGTCGTCGGTAACCGTGTAGAATGGCCGGTTGGAAGTGGAGCATGGCTTTTTGCCAGGGTTCTGGGTTTTCCTGGCCGTGGATTACTTTGTGCAGGATTTGCGGGACCATTAGGGTTCCTAGAAGGTTTTTAGCTTTTGCTTTCTCTTGATTCGTGAGGGACTTACCATAGAAAAAGAGGACGTGGTCGCCCATGGTGTTTGGTGTGGGGTTGCGCTTAGTGAGTTTGTTGGTTATTGTATGAGGGTTGAGCGAGGGTCCGAGATAGTGAATTCTATGGAATTGAGGTAATATATGGAATTTGCAAGTCCGGCAGAAGCGTAGTGTATAAAGAAAATCATAAAAGAGAGAAGACCGAAGCCATGGGTTATCTATGCGGAGATGACAGCCCCGGTCTATAGATGCCGCTTATCGATAAGACCCAAACATCCAAACAGGCCCAGCTGGCTTCATCTTCTCAATTCGACCCCAAAACACACCATGCATTCCTCCTTGAACCGCATCCAGTCCGTATTCGGCTTCTTTACTACAGTCGCGCTGGTCGTCAGCGCACTGGCAGCCGTCTCGGTCATCCTCTTCCCAGCAGACGAGACTAATGCCTCAGTGCAACTGAAGAACGTCCAGGTGTAAGTTGAAATCGCGATTTCCTTTCTCCCTCCAAACCTATACTCCCCCGAGATAAAAAAAAAGTAAACCCACATTTACTAATACTCATTGCCGGTACAACAGTGTCAAAGGCCGACCACACTATTACTCAACCAAACGCGAAGAATACGCCCAGCTCCGCTTCGACCTAGACGCCGACCTAAGCCCCCTCTTCAACTGGAACACAAAACAGCTTTTCGTCTACGTCTACGCTACCTACTCCTCCTCCGATATCCCCGGCTCGCAAGTCCGCCTCTCGGAGTCCATCATCTGGGACACTATCATCCCCGCGACCCCGTCGCCGTATTCGTGGGATATCCTCAAAGATCAGGTCCTAGCGCTTTTTCCCTCATCAGTTACATCTGAGGCTGTGTCCGCTGCGAAGAGGAATGCCAAGCGCCATGCTAAGTCGGCTAAGGCGGCTAAGAGTAAGAAGGAGGCTCTTGCGCCCGGGGTTCTGAGACTGCGTGGTCAGAAGGGTAAGTACCAGATCAGTGATATCACTGGTCGTCTGGCGGAACGTCAGAATGTTACTCTTCATGTTGGATGGAATGTTCAACCTTGGGTTGGGGCTTTGTTGTGGGCGCCTAGTACCGGTGCGGCGCCTAGGACTGCGGGGACCATTGTTAGCAGTGCGCCTTTTGATTTCCCCGAAGTGAAGGATACTAAGAAGGCTGCTGCGGAGAAGAGGGCTAAGGAGGCCGAGAAGGTGGAAAAGGCGAATGTATAGGCTTCTTTTGAGTTGGGTCTATTGAGATAGGGGAGTTGGGATCTACCTGTTTTTTTATTTACTTTTGGGAGCTTCTAGAATGCTCACCTCCTACAATTGCATTTTGAAAAATGATACATATGGAACACCTCGTCATCGGAGCGGAAGTCAATCATTCTTGTTTTATTGTTTCAGAGGGGTCCGGTTACACTCAAATGAAAAACAAGGATCGACGTGATGGATATAGTAGCAGAGGTAGAGGCTCGCTTAGGTTCAAAGTCGTAAGAGAATGCCGACCGTCGACGGACGAGGTCAAGCATGTCGAAGAAGAGAGTTCGGCGGCATCGAAAGAAAATCACATGGTACCGTAATTAAGGTCTGCGGGTGTATGACGATGACCTCCATTCTGGATGCGGTCGGAGTAGACGCCCGGTGCGGGCCGTTGAGAGGCACGAGTCAGTGGATCGCGATCCCGACGATCATAATAGACGTATTCTAAATAGAAGGCATGGATGTGTCCGGGGAAGTAGCTGGGAGATATGGTTAGTTTTCGAATACAACAGGAGTCTGGATATCTAGTATATCTAGTATAACACTCACCCAAGAATTGTGAGCAGGACGTTGATCCAGAAGTCAACTCCGCAGCCTGCAATCATAAAGACACCAAGAGGAGGAACTGTTTGGTGGTTTGTTAGCGGGTCATTCTAGTGGGGATGGGTTGATACGTGTAAATTGAGGGGCGATCAGGGACCACTATGTGGGGTGTTTTTTTTTTTTGGTGGTGGTTTTCCAGGTAGCAGAAAGAATTGACTTACTGAATAAGGTGATGATGATCAAACAAAGCGTCGAGCAAGCACCGGCCATGATTGTGGTAGTGTTTGAGTTTGATGTATGCGATGTTATTGTTCACGTTTAACAGATCGAGGTCTGAAATCGGTAGTGGCCAGGAAACTGAGGACAATTGCAAAGAGGAGGATGAAGATATAAATAGGAATGTTGTCACCCGCAGGGGAGTTAAGGTGTTTCATCTTGATCTTGGCCACTACGTCACGACTGGGGACTTGAAAGGGAACCAGGTGGTAGGGCTGAGGCAGCCGTGAAGCTGATTTGCTGGAACTGACCATGACGTCATCCAGAACTATCACCGCCACATGCCACAGTGAATAGATGTGGCTGGTGTCTGTGTATATGGCAAGTACACTTGACCGGGCAGGTACAGGCAGGTACGTTGGAAGGACTTGGAACAGATGTAGAGGTACTGGGAATACATTTCATATAAGATTCCCAGTATCAAGTTCTTACACCGCATCAATCGCCGCCCGGGTTGTAACTTGCTCGTTCTTGTTGCCAAGCTTTGAGATCTGCAAAAATGCGTCCACTCCATACCCTTCGAGACTGTGCAGTTCCAAACTGCCTGCCCAATATTCAGCATAGACTCGGCTCATGGGGAGACCCATCCCTAGACGGAGATTGGGTGGTCGTGATGTCAATGTGTCCAGGGATCCTTCATGGTATGAATCCCGATCGGTGTGTTTACGGTCGTGTGACACTTGCAGTTCTTGCATCGTCGCTGCCATTGCGGGGACCTGCCCAAGATTTTCCAGCCTGGATTGTGTGCGAGGACCCTTGCTGAAGGACCACAGATACGGCAAAATCTCTCGGGGGATTCCTCCTCCTTGATCAGATATGCGCATTATCACATGCTGCGGGGTCTCGCACACGAGCACTTCGATGGGTGGTGGGGTTTCGGTTGAATCCTGATATTTTTCCATCACTGCTTGCACTGAGTTGCGGAGAAGTTCTCCGATGATGTATTCCAAGTGGCTCAAGATATACGGGAAGGTCGCATCAACATGGCCCTTGACGATGATCGCGGGGATCTGAGTCGACCCTGATATGTTCCGCATCAGATCCTGTGCGACCTTCCCACATCGCTCGACTACCTCCTTCGCCTTGCACTTTAGGAACACTTCGCCCACAAAGTCTGCGTTCATGTCGGTTCGGTCGTGGGAATCGGGGAAATGCCATGGCGAGTTGAAGGTTTCGGTTAGAGCCAGGTGTTGCTCTGCGATGACTCGGCGAGAGATTCGCTACCGAGGAGACAATCGTCAGCTAGGAGGCAAATCAGAGGTCATCCTTACATACCGCTCGCAAAAGTGTGTTCATTAACCGATCCATTTCGTCCGCTGGAGCGAGATTGCGGCATTCCAGCACTCCTATCGCCAGGTTGGGAATCGCAACCAGATGCTCCCGTAGCATTTCCTTCAGGATGTCACAGAAACGGTCATTATCTTCAAGGGTCCGGATCTCAGGAACCACCCGAGCCCGCTCAAATGCTTTGTAGTACAGTTCGTATACAAGGGTGAGATGGGGGTTGGCAACTACCACGTATGGTAGCTGCTGGATGTCTCGTAGACGATGCGCAAGGCTATCCAATGGACCACAATCAGGATTTTTGCTTTTTTTCCCCCCTCAGATACTGCAGATCGTCTCCCAACTTACCGAGTAGGTAGCTCAGTCCGCACATAGTTCGCGGAACTGATGAGTCGTGGTTCGGTCAAGGTACGACCAAAAAAGGTCAACTGACGAAGACTGATTGGTCGAATAGCTCGTTCCACCCATCTGCCAGTACATCCCAGTCAGTGTTATGCACCATTTTGAGCTTTAGCAACGTGAGTCATCCATACTCATCTACTGCAGAAACTGGCCGCCATGGTGGCGGGCTGTTAGCTCCAGAATAGCAGCGTTTCGAGGGAGAATGGAGGGGGCCGCCAGCTTCTAGCTGGATAAGTCAACCTCATTGTGCTCCATGCACTTATTCAATAAGTACTGAGACCATGTAAGTGCTCACTATCTTGTGCACGCGTAGTTGGGACTTCAAGAGTTTGGGGTTGCCGGGCGGTGAGTCAAGCATGTGACACCAACAGGTTTGTTATGCTTTTGGTAAGTTTTGTTTTGCTGTCTTATATATATATCCATATATATCCCGAGGTCCTTATATATGTGTGTTCAAACTCTGCAAATGCCAATATCATACGATTGAGTTCTCATCCCAAGTTGCCTCGGATCTAAGGCAACCCGCACGGACTTGGGGCTAACGCATCAGCTCATGGACTCTTTGGATCATCTGAGGGTGAACTGGGGAAATTTGGATGATTGGGAGCATGCAAAGAGATACACATATCGATTGGCATACAGAACTAAAACATACATATGTATCTATCTATGTTACCTACTCCGTACATCATCGATAAATCAGACTGGTAAAAAATAGGGCTTTCTTCACCGTATACTCCGCACCTAGGTACTCCTGCATATATTATTGCACACTGCCAATTAATGAAACTATTGATTTCAATTCGAGGCGAGAGAGAGAGAGAGGGAGAAGTCAGAGCTCAATGAAAAAGCCATATTAACTCTATAAATAAGCATCTAATCAAAGACAGGTCTCTTCAACAACATCCTTTCAATATCACAGCCGAGCCCTCGAGGCTCCGCCACCGCTAGCTCCGGCCCTGATTATTTTGCGGGTGCGGACGAATTTCCTCCACCACCAGGCTCTACAGTGTATCTCTTTCCAACATTCTGTCCTTTTATTCACAAAACTCCCTTAAAATACAAACTCTGACGCCTTCCGGGACGGGAAGGCGCTTTCCGCGATGGAAAACGTGAGAGATCCCCCGACCGTGCCCCTCGCTAGTGTCGTCATTGGACCTAACCCTGTTCTACCAGCTCGCGGAGAACGACATGCTTGTCGATGATTATGATCAATACCCTGCCGAAAAGACCGATGTCGTCGTCGTTTCCCGGTCGGGATCCGACGAGCCTGAGTCCGCACCGACCGCAGATGATCGTATGTTCTTTGTTGCTTTTCCCTTTCCCTAAACCACAAGCAGGAGGGCGGTTTGATGGGTTAGCTGAACAAAGCATGGCGCCTAAATGAGATCGCCCCTCGAGAAATATACACCCTGTTTGCTTGCTTGTATTGAGTGGTCGCTAATCAAGACGATGGACACAGACGCGGCGATGATGGCAAAGGTCCTCCCCAACAACGCGGACCTCGAAACCCTAGACGAAGTCCACAACACATGGCACTTGTCAGACTGGCGGAAGATGGAGCGCAAGTCACACGGACCCATCTTCCGATGCGGTGACTCCCCGTGGTAAGTGCCTGAAATCTTTTTTCCCGGGTTTGGCTCTTATTTGGCTCTTATGGCTTTGTGCCGGCATTGGGTCTGACTCGAGAATAGGCGCATCCTCTTTTTCCCCTACGGAAACCAGACCGAATTCGCCTCGTTTTACCTCGAACATGCGTGGGAGGGTGGACCACCGGAGAACTGGTACGCTTGTGTGCAGTTCGCGCTGGTGTTGTCGAACGTGAACGATCCTTCCATTTATACACACCACGGTAGGATATTCAATTCCTAAGGGATTGATTGATTAGAATGCTGAGTTGAATTTTAGTTGCAACCCACCGTTTCACCGCCGACGAAGGAGACTGGGGATTCACTCGGTTCTCCGACCTCAAAGGTCTGTTCAGCCACGCGTGGGAGGGAAAATCAGTCCCGTTAGTGCAGGACGATGAGGCAATTGTCACGGCCTATGTTCGTGTAGTGAAAGATCCCACGGGTGTCTTGTGGCACAGTTTCCAAAAGTGTGTTCTCTCCGGGAAGTTTGACCGAGTGAAACTAACTTCTTTTTAGTTACGACTCGAAGAAGGAGACTGGGATGGTAGGATTGAGAAACCAGGGAGCTACATGCTACTTGAACTCACTTTTGCAGTCGCTCTATTTCACAAATGCTTTCCGCAAGGTACGAAGAAGCTTCGATTGCTTCCCTAACTACTGAGACTAATGGAAATCCGTAGGCCGTGTACCAAATACCGACTGACCAGGAAGCTTCACGTGAGAACAGCGCGTGGGCCCTCCAGAGACTATTTTACAACTTGCAGACTAACGATGTTGCTGTTTCCACAACCGAGCTCACCGCGTCTTTTGGCTGGCAATCCAGCCAGATCTTTGAACAGCAAGATGTGCAGGAGCTCTCACGAAAGCTCATGGAAAGATTGGAGCACAAGATGAAAGGTACCGTTGCAGAAAAAGTTCTACCTGATCTGTTCGTCGGAAAAACAAAAACATATATTTCTTGCATCAATGTCGATTACGAGTCTTCCCGCGTGGAAGACTTCTGGGATATTCAACTCAATGTTCGAGGCAACAAGACCTTAGACGACAGCTTCAGGGATTATATTCAGGTTGAGACACTCGAGGGCGAGAACAAGTACGAAGCTGGGCAGCCATATGGTCTGCAGGACGCCAAGAAGGGCGTCATCTTCGAGAGCTTCCCTCCCGTTCTGCATCTTCACCTCAAACGTTTTGAGTACGACCTCAACCTTGACATGATGGCCAAGGTCAACGATTATCACACATTCCCTATGGAGTTTGATGCGGCTCCTTATCTTTCTGAGAGCGCTGACAAGTCGGAGTCCTGGGTTTACCAATTGCATGGTGTTCTCGTCCACAGCGGTAACCTCGATGCTGGACATTACTATGCCTTCCTTAAGCCCACCAAGGATGGACACTGGTACCGCTTCGATGATGACCGAGTCAACCGAGCTACTGACAAAGAAGTCCTCGATGAGAACTATGGAGACTCCCAGCAGCGCACGAACGGAGCGACTGGAGGACGATCCGCCATCCGCACAAACAACGCCTACATGTTGGTTTACGTCCGGAAGACGAGACAGGATAATGTATTATTACCAGTCACAAAGGATGATGTGCCCTCTCACATTGGTAGGTCCAGAGATTTATGTTCTTTGGGGAATTGACCGGTTGGCTAATTTTGAAATAGAGAAGCGTATGTCTGAGGACCGGGTGGAGATGCTGCGTCGGAAGAAAGAGAGAGAAGAAGCCCACCTTTACATGAATGTCGGCGTCCTCAATGAGGATGCATTCCGAAGCCACCATGGCTTCGATCTGACTAGCAATGACCTCCCCGCAGACGATCCGGCCCTTCCCACGCCATACAAGATTCTTCGGGCAAAGAAAGTCAGCGAATTTGCACAGGAAATCGCTGAAGAACGAGGTCTCAAACCAGAAGCCATTCGATTCTGGGTCATGGT